ATTATATAATAAATATGGGAGAAGAACCACGATTATATAATGAATATGGGAGAAGGGCCTCGATTATATAATAAATATGGGAGAAGGTCCACGATTATATAATGAATATGAGAGAAGGGTCACGATTATATAATGAATATGAGAGAAGGGTCACGATTATATAATGAATATGGGAGAAGAGTCACGATTATACATTGAATATTGGAGAAGGACCACGATTATATAATGAATATGGGAGAAGGATCACGATTATATAATGAATATGAGAGAAGGACCACGATTATATAATAAATATGGGAGAAGGACCACGACTATATAATGAATATGGGTGAAGGGCCACGATTATATAATAAATATGGGAGAAGGTGCACGATTATATAATGAATATGAGAGAAGGGTCACGATTATATAATAAATATGGGAGAAGGACCACGATTATATAATGAATATGGGAGAAGGACTACGGTTATATAATGAATATGAGAGAAGGATCACGATTATATAATGAATATGAGAGAAGGACCACGATTATATAATAAATATGGCCAACGAATCTCGATTATATAAGGAATATGGGAGAAGGTCCACGATTATATAATAAATATGGGAGAAGGACCACGATTATATAATGAATATGGGAGAAGGGTCACGATTATATAATAAATACGGGAGAAGGACCACGATTATATAATGAATATGGAAGAAGGACCACGATTATATAATGAATACGAGAGAAGGATCACGATTATATAATGAATATGGGAGAAGGTCCACGATTATATAATAAATAAGGGAGAAGGACCACGATTATATAATGAATATGGGAGAAGGGCCACGATTATATAATGAATATGGGAGAAGGACCACGATTATATACTAGTAGTGAATATGAGAGAAGGGTCACGATTATATAATAAATATGGGAGAAGGACCACGATTATATAATGAATATGGGAGAAGCGCCACGATTATATAATGAATATGGGAGAAGGACCACGATTATATAATGAATATGAGAGAAGGGTCACGATTATATAATAAATATGGGAAAAGGACCACGATTATATAATGAATATGGGAGAAGGGCCACGATTATATAATAAATATGGGAGAAGGTCCACGATTATATAATGAATATGAGAGAAGGGTCACGATTATATAATGAATATGAGAGAAGGGTCACGATTATATAATGAATATGGGAGAAGAGTCACGATTATATAATGAATATGGGAGAAGGACCACGATTATATAATGAATATGGGAGAAGGGCCACGATTATATAATAAATATGGGAGAAGGTGCACGATTATATAATGAATATGAGAGAAGGGTCACGATTATATAATGAATATGGGAGAAGGATCACGATTATATAATGAATATGAGAGAAGGACCACGATTATATAATAAATATGGGAGAAGGACCACGATTATATAATGAATATGGGAGAAGGGCCACGATTATATAATAAATATGGGAGAAGGTGCACGATTATATAATGAATATGAGAGAAGGGTCACGATTATATAATAAATATGGGAGAAGGACCACGATTATATAATGAATATGGAAGAAGAATCACGATTATATAATGAATATGGGAGAAGGTCCACGATTATATAATAAATATGGGAGAAGGTCCACGATTATATAATAAATATGGGAGAAGGACCACGATTATATAATGAATATGAGAGAAGGACCACGATTATATAATAAATATGGGAGAAGGTCCACGATTATATAATGAATATGGGAGAAGGGTCACGATTATATAATAAATATGGGAGAAGGACCACGATTACATAATGAATATGAGAGAAGGGTTACGATTATATAATGAATATGGGAGAAGAACCACGATTATATAATAAATATAGAAGAAGAACCGCAATTATATAATGATTATGAGAGAAGGACCACGATTGTATAATGAATATGGGAGAAGGGCCACGATTATATTGTGAATATGGGAGATGGACCACGATTATATATTGAATATTGTAGAAGAACCACGATTATATAATATACATGGGAAAAGGACCACGATTATATAATAAATATGGGAGAAGGGGCACGATTATATAATAAATATGGGAGAAGGACCACGATTATATAATAAATATGGGCGAAGGACCACAATTATATAATAAATATGGGAGAAGGGTCACGATTATATAATGAATATGGGAGAAGGACCACGACGCTCAAGACTCTCCTGGGCTCTAAAGATTCTCTGGGGCTCTCAAAACTCTCCTGGACTCTCAGCACTTTCCTGAGCTCTCAAGACTCTCCTGGGCTCACAAGACTTCCATTGGTTCTCAAGACTCTCCTGGACTATCAAGACACTTCAGGGCTCGCATAACTTTTTGGGGCTTTCAGGACTCTCCTGGGCTCTCAATACTCTTCTTTTTCTCGGTACTCTCAAGAGTTTCACGGGCCATGAAGACACTCCAGGGGGCTCAGGATTCTCCTTGGCTCTCAAGACTCTCCCGAGCTCTCCTGACTCTCAAGACTTATCTGGGCTTTCAAGACTCTATTTTGCTCCCAAGACTCTCACGGGCTCCCAAGACTCTCCTGGGCTCTCAAGATTCTTCTTTGCTCTCGGGACTCTCAAGACTTTCTCGGACCCTCAATGCACTCCGGGGCTCTCAATATTTTCTTCTAGGCTTTCAGGACTCTCAAGACACACCTGGGCTCTCAAGACTCTCCTGGGCTGTCAATACTTTCCTGGGCTGTCAAGACCCCTTGGCTCTCAAGACTCTCCCGGGCTCTCAAGACACTTTTGGGCTCACTATACTTTCCTGGGCTCCCAAGACTGTCCTTGGCTTTCAAGACTTATCTGGGCTCTCAAGATTCTATTTTGATCCGAAGACTCTCCTGGGCTCTGAAGATTCTCCTGGGCTCTCAATGCTTTCCTGGGCTTGCATGACCCCCTTGGCTCTCAGGACTTTTCTGGGCTCTCAAGAACCTCTTTTGCTCACAGGACTCTCACAGGCTTTCAATACTTTTCTGTGCTCAATTTCATTCTACATGAGTAGAGGCTTCCACTCAAAATAAAAACAAATACGAACATTCAAAATCTTAAATCTAAGACTAGTTATGCTGTAATGTTGTCTCAAAAATAGATCACCATCTGCAAACTAAATGGAAACATACACTTTGGGAGCCATTGTCATAGAGCCACTAACATACGTGTTACTCAGCCAAATCCATTATGTACACATTACATATTTATCATGACATTATGCCACCCGGTAGAAACCTTAAAAGATAGAGATTTGTGAAATTAGATAAACTTCCTAACGTTTCCCACTGCAAACACCGTCAAGCTTTTTGGTATAAAATAAATGTCTTGTAAACATTATATAGCAATTTTAAAGTCAATGCTTTGATTATTATCTAGGCATATGCAATATCATTACAGATATTATTATTATTGTAAATACGCCATATATTACATTGTCTACATGGTATGGTCAGTCACAGGAACATACCCAATCACGCCAATCACACCTTCATGCGAGCACATGACTGCTAAGTGAATAAACCTTTTATTGAAAGTTCAAATGAGTTCTGTGGGGAATTAAATTTGATATCCCAATCTAACTGAATCCCCAATCTTCTCATCTCAGGATATCTGCATCGCATGCCTGCTTTGGTCAATTATCTCAACTACACCGCGTAGCCATGTTTCTCCAATCATCTAAGTTACATCGCATGGCTACGTTGGTTTCTCGTCTCGAGTTAACTGCATCGCACTGCAATTTTGCTCCAACCAACTCTTGCAAACAGCATCTCGTAGTCACGTTGTTGTGTTCATTGAAAAGCTTCGCGTGGCTACACAGATATCACGCTCGACAAACAAGACAGAAAACAAATGCATTCCAAGTGAGAGTCATTTATTTCTTCAAAGAAAAAATAAAACAACTAACAAAGTTAACAACAAATAACTACGTATAAGAAAATGGAATTAATCACGGAATCTACGATGAGCATTTAAGATATATGTGATTACCAGTTTGGCCCGTTCTTGATCACTTGCAGTAGTATGACGTTTCATTGGTAATTTGAGATGTCTTAAGAAGTATTAGCAAATGTAACCAGAATTAAATAAATAATTACCACAACCCATAAATTCAAAAATAAATATAAACCCAAAATACATCGTTTACGCCATTACATTGTGAAATAAAAGAAATCCACGTACGATTTGTTCGCCTTTTTATACGCAAATATTGTTGCGATATCGTTTTTTTATCTTAACATATAAATATTGGACTGTAATTTATCGTAAAACAAAAACATTTTTATCGCAGCACACAATATAATATTGGTTTCGAGAAATTAAACGCATGTGCATGCGGTTTGAATTAATTGTACGTACTAGTAATTCAACCCGAATATTTGCACGTAACAAAAATAACGTTTTTAGTTCGTGAAAACTCCAATCCAGTATGTATATGCAATATGGAATATAAAAAATACTTCCATATTAACCAAGTCAGTACAATGTTTGACTATTCTCTATGTCATCCCATCTCTGTCACGTGGTACGACGAGCCGACGGGAAAATAACTCTGCGCTCGTTGTCAGTATCTGTATGGAGCTAACTCATTCACTACTTATCTTTGTTTGTTTGTTCCGACATTCCATTTAACAATGGTCGTGGCTAACACACTTTAGGGAAAGGAAATTCCTGAAACTTTGCAAAATCTTTGTGATTGGCTGTTTCCGAAGAAAAAAAAAACTTTGGGTACCCGATTTAGATTTAATTGCATGTATTTTAACCACTGCCGTCAGAGTAGGGCTTAAGGCTATACGAAAATCGTAAAGTCACAGTTTCCTTGGAAATAAGTTCAAAAACTCTCAATTTGATGAAAACTAACTCACAAAACAATATGAAGTTCTTTTACAATTTCTACATTTTAACAGTTAGCCACGCCCACCATAAGTACAACGTTTACTTATAAAACAAAATGTTGGGGGGGTGGCATTGAAATGTGCGTTCTCGATTTGTTCAAACAATCGAGATGAGAAGACTATCATGTCATTTAGAGCAAGCAATAAACAACAACAATAATAAACAGGCAGAACGTGGAGCGGGAAATGACCCTGTAGCACAGGACATAAACACTGACTTATATTTGTAAACAGCCAATACTCTATATAGGTTGTTTATAAACTCGATGGCGTCGCATAGTCTTTATTTCGAGAATACTTCTTGGTGTAAAGGAGGAAATTGTACATCAGGACTAACTTTCATTTCCATTAACCGCTTGCTATGTTCGCAGTTTATTTCTCGAAGTTTAGGCAGCAATAACAGTACTTGTGAGAGAAGAGAGTCATCCTCAGGATGGTTTCTACGTAATTCATATTGCAAGGCACGGAGATAACTGTCTTGTAACGACGCAACCAACTGTTTTTCATTCAAACCCGGACGATCTACGGAAGAAGAAGATTTTTTAAGTACAATGCTAACTGACTGGTCCACATAACACATCACAAGACATGTAGGCCTGTTATACCATACCATATCACCAATATATTGAGTATATCAAATATGAAAAATATGAATTCTTACCAGCAGACATAAGTATTACAGCTGACAGCAACGACTTCTCACTGTCCGTCAAACACAAACTGTTTATCCTCACACAGAAATCAAAAATGGCAATGACGAAATCTCCCATAGGTGTCATTTTGGCGTGTTCTATTGACATGGAATAATTCTCAGCGAACACTTCCATTTCATTAGTGTACAAATTATGCAGCATAGAGAGTCTGACCGTCACTACCTCGAAACAACCTAGCTTAGTGATCACCATGCGATCATCTAAATCCAATTGCCGGAATCCTGGCAGGCGTTTTGCAAAAGTAACAACACCTTCAATAAGGTGCGTGAATGACGAGGTAATTGCTCCCCATAACCTCTCCAACGAAGCCGGGGTATGGTGCTGTCCTGCCAAAGCTTTATTCTTGCCTTCAATGTGACGAGACTGGAAAGTATTGTACTGTGTCTGGTGCATTCTGCGAACAAGTTCTTTCACAGTGAGTCGCTCCAATTGTTGTACTTTTTGATCGTATGGACTCGCGGTAGTAGGGATTCTATTAGCCAGTATTGACTCATTGACGCTAGGCTTAATATCGAACCATTCCATTGCTACATCGCATTTATCAATATTGTTTTCTGTCGATGATGTATCTTTATCTTGGTCACACTGGACGTGGTGGTTGTCAACATGATTTGTTTTCCCCATACTGGTATCTATCTTCAATTTGCCAGGTTTTTCGTTTTCTGAGACTTGTTGTGTCACGTTATTGCTAGCGCTTGTCGCGTTGACGTCGGTCTCATTTAACCTAATTCGTTTAGATGTAGCCAGCTCCTCTGGAACAATGTTGTTGGCTTGCTCTGAATTTTGTTCCACCTCTTTTAACAGGAGACTCTTCTTCTTCATGTCTGCTTTAAGTTTTTTGGAACGTCTTCCGAGCTTGCACGCTGAAAAATAAAAAAGTAACAATATATTTTCTTATTTCATAATTTGGCTGATATCTATTTGTCTATTTAGTCTATTTGTAGACACTAGATTCCAACCAGCCGATATCACCCCAATACGGACTTTGCTCCTTGTGATTCGAATACACATAGCAGTACGAGGTGTATAGTTTAAACCCTGCCATTGGCTCACTATGTCGTCATGGTTACATAGGTTGTGGAGGAAATAATCGCGTAACATTAATACCAGTCAAGTCTCTATCACAGGAACAAGGGAAATCACTTTTGAAAAATTGGAAATCTAATATCAGTATTTAAACAAATTCCGTTTGAACTGAATTTCTTGGCAAGAAATCATTGCTCCTTAGATCTTTCTTTGAAGATCACACATTTTTCAAATCAATCTATCCCGGTGTGTTATTTCGACTTGTGCGTTCTAAAAACAACAAGCAATATTTTAAATTATGATAAAGACCTGATACCTAATTACATTGCTTTTGTACCAATTTATTTTCTAATGAATGTACTTTGCTTATCCAATCAAGCCTACATATAAACCCCTTCAAATGGAGGATAACAGCAACACGTGACCATCACGTGACAATACCTTCTTTAGACATGCCGACAGCGAGACATTTAATCCATCTGCAGTACTGACACTGGTTTCGTGTCAATCTGTTCACTGTACACGTCTGATTACCACATTTATAGGCTGTGTGCAGACTCTGACTCCGGGAGAAAAAACTCTGAAAGAATGAGAGACAAATAACATTTTGAATAGTGCGAGTCCCTAGTGTAAAATGTTTCGACCTTGAAGGCTACTACTCACAACAAATTTGTTTATATTTGTTTATGACGTAACAAAAACAAATTATTATGATAGAAACGGAGGACAATTATTACATCTTTTATATAAAAGGTAAAACAATAATAATATAATATAGTTTATTAAAGTGGTATGCTTAGCCCAACAACAACTTACAAGTCACTACAACAACAAAACATGTATATTACAAAGAAAAGTACACAAGTGAAAATACAGTAACATTTAAGCTCTATATAGCGCCTCGCTACGCATTTTAAACCCATATAACATTTTGATAATGGTAACACATATAGGCTATGGTCAGTAAATAGATCAATAAATAAGGATTTTTACTAAAACAAATTTGAAGCAAAATAGAACGCCCTTCCGTATATATTCAGGACAACGAAAAATGAATTTCATCCTCTACTTCACTATGGCAGAAGTTACATATCTTCTCAGACACTTCCTGCCCCTAAAATATTCCTGTTTCAATTGCAAGTAGTAATATATGTGCGACAAGACAAGGAAGATCACAAAATAACTCGTTGTTCATCTTTAATGATGTTGTGCTTAAAAATACGTGTAACAGAGTGGTGAGCATGAATACTACTAAACTTTTATTGGTTGCTTTTGTTATCAATTCGGCACTAAATTATGCTCTTAGAAAAACACAATTCAAACTGAACACTATTGTCAATATCATACAATAGGAACACTGATATGTTTTATATTTAAATTCGGACATTATTTAGAGACAATTTTCTCAAAAAAACGTCTACAAAATGCATAATTAGTATTAACTATTTGGAATACCCAAGAACCTCATTTTATATGGTAGAATGATAATCATATTGTACACGAATTTAATGGATGTCATTGTACTTAATAAAAATAAAATAAAAAATAAAAAATGTTTTCAAAGTCCGAACAATAAGCATTGCTCAAATAAAATTATAATATAGCAGTTGGATGTGTTGCTCACCCTCAGAAAACATCTTATGAAAAAGCCATCACGGTGCCATATAATTTATTTGGGAATCAAAATGTAGCTCAATAATAAGCATATGGTTACGTAATGAAATGACAGTTACCACCTGAAACCACATGTCAAGTCAATTGAAACGAAAGCAAACAATATAATATGAAAGCTTTTGCTAAAGTTCCCATCAAGACGCCACAATACATTGTGATCATCGTCACACATAATTTTCAAGAAACTTTGCTTAGACAACAATCGTAAATTTTGTCAGATGTGATTTAAAAAATGGCGATACATACTTTGTCGCCGCCAGCATACACAGTGATGGATGCCAGTTCAAAAATATTACAAATCCAAGGTTCCCCCTCATTACATCGAAAGGTCGGAAAGGAAGACTTTTGCCTAAAATAAAACTACCAGGTCTATGAATAAAAACTTCATAGAATTAAAAGACAAAACAATTCAGTTCAGTGGTTGGATACTTAGAGAAACCAAGGGAACCAAAATTTCGGAGATAATTCGCTCCATTGACGAATAGTCGGTGATAATGGTAACCAATAGGGCGAGGAAATACTTTTTTACAAACAAATATTTAGAAAAGGGAGAAGGTAATAAGGGTAAATAACATTATTGAACAAGTTGACTATTTTTTCTTGATATGGCATCTTGGCAGAAAACATAACAGCACTCATTTGATGGAATATACACGGCTTTACCAACACACATACTAGTAAGTATTTAGAAACAAAACTTGTGTTTTCTACAACAAATCATACTACATTGGTTTTATCACATAAAATTATTTAAATACGCTCAAAAAATTAAAGTTATTCACATCACATCTTTAATAACAAGTCATTGAAAATGACACAGTCCCCGTTAAGTTCTCTTTGTGCTCGTCATATTAAAGCGGAGGGGTTGTCGCGAGCGTGTCCTTGAAACTTGAGTTCCAAGTGGCGTATACAACAGATTGTTTATTTACATCAAAACACGTGTTTCGTGTCATAGTAATATGGCCAAAATTAAAACAGCCGTTATTCAGCCATCTTTGATCTGATTATGAAACACACTGATATGTATGATGTATGTGCCAAATACGAATGAAAATGGTACATAAATTGTGGAAATATAGTAGTAAGGCCAAAAAGTCAGATGGCTGTCAATCGGCCATCCTTGACCAGATTTTGAAACAAATTGTCATGGACATGCATCCTAAGATGTATAAAGTACATGTATGTGCCAAATTTGAATGAAAACTGACAGAGCACGTCCAAGATACCGCATAAAAAAACAAAAAACAAGATGCCTGCCAGTAGACCATCTTTGATCCAATTGCGAAATAAATCGTATGGACATGTATCCTAACATGTATAATCTATGTACCAAGTTTGAATGACAACTGACAAAGCATGTCCAACAATACAACATTTTCAAAAAACAAGATGGCTGCCAGTCGGCCATTTTGA